ACCCATGTGTGCTAGGTTCACATGATACAAGGGCCCATGGCAAGGCACATACCCAGAGACACCATGAAAAAATGGCACCCTAGGGCATCCAAGACAGTACAACAGTTCCCTTCAATAAATTAACCCACACTTCACTCTCATGCTGTGTAAACCAGCTCAATGAAAAGGAAAATATATTTTTATTAAAATTAAATCATCAAGAATTAATATCAGTCCAAAGCTGTTTCACAGAAAGGTGTGGGAAACATCTGTGGTAAAGGCGGGGGGGGGGGGATGAATGTTCCACAGTAGGGTAAAGAACTGTTTGGAACTACAGTGCAAATAGTTCATACAGGAAAGTAAAAAAGAAAGCATTATATAAATAAAGGGGTCCAAATTAAAGTCTGTAAATCATAAGAAAAGTTATCCACTTATTACCCTCACCACACCAAAAAAAGTATAAAAAGTGGGGAAATATAGCAAGCGACAGGGTGAATTTGTAAGACATTTAAATCATGGTTTTGCACACATGCCTGCCTTACCCATAAGTAGAGGAACTTCATTAAAATATTCCCAAACTGGGTCTATTTTACAGCCTGCCATGACTACAGGTTTTCTCCTCCAGGGAAAGAATATGTTGATAAACCTCAGGCTATACACAAAAGATCCAAAGAGTTCTGGAGTTTTCTGCTCAAAATGGTTCACCATATTTGCACCTCCCTCCTCACACTTCTTGTGCAATCTATTCCAATCCCAACAATCTTCTTCTATTCACTGAATTTTTTGAAACTTAGCACTTAAGAGGTAAGGGGTCAATTCTGAGTACATAGATTTGCAAAGGAACAATAGGATTAAGGTGTTTTTTTCAACTCTGTATGTTTATTTTATAACACTTTTGTTGTGAAAAACAGTTATGTGATCTCTGCAGACACAAATTCACAGTTTTGAGAACTGTAAAACCAAACATATATGATAACATTTTCTAGATAAACTGCCCAATAATCTTACAGAAACCTCTGGAAGATCATGACATTGTGTATGGATTAATGGAATTTACCACAAATTAAACATTGTATGACTATACAGCTTCATGCTACATAATTAAAAACTAATCCTTATTTCATGATAGCCTTTGAAATGTAATGCATCTTAATTAGCAAATTAGATAGATTTTTCCTCAAAAGCATTTTAATTTTAAAAAATCTGATTTAAATTTTTTAAAATTTATTTTTTAAAAATTGATATTTATCTACCTTGGAAAGCAATAAAGAGAGGATGCCTAAGGCATATGGAAGGACATATGCCAACAAAGAAAAGTGCTACAAGGAAAGCATTGTAAAAACAAGCAAATTATTTTAGGAAAAGAAAGTAGCAAAGGAAGAGATGCTGAAGAGATGGGATATACATTAGAGGCAAGCAACCTTTGGTGGCTCAGCAGTTTTTTGCTCTTTTTAAAAGGGTCCTAGGCACAAAACAGCTGCTATTGGAGGCCTGGCAAAGGACAGACAGACACCGTGGCCAAGCGTCCTGAGTTCAAGGCAGAGATGGGGCCTGAGCCCCAACTCCATATACTGCTAACTCCTTCAAACCCAGTCCTAATCACTCGGGCATGTTAAAGGGCACCAAAAACAGTATCAAGAGATACACTGGTATCCATCAGCAGGAATACCTCAATACATTAATTGGAAATAAGAAAGAAAGCTGTAAATTATTTTTGACAGTCTTTTTTAAAGAGTCTTTTGAGACCAACTTCGTGAAGCATCACCTCAAATCTTAATCTGCTTTGCTTAAAACACTACCAAGGAAAACACAAGCACTGAAAGACTTGCATGATAATTAAAGAATGTGACTAAGTTGTATACTAATGGAAAATGTGCCTTTAAAGGAGAAGAAAGTACATATATGAGTGACATAACTACCCCATATTCCTGTTGTTTTTTTAAATAAGATTTTAAGTTTTCAAAAGTATATGAGGGAAATAATCTTAGGCAAAACCAAATTTAAAAAACTAATGAAGCCAAGAGCAAAGAATATAACTGCTTTGCAATTAATACATATATTTCCATCACACTTGTGATCTATACAACACGTATTTTAAATACATTTTTGAAGTTTTACATTACCAAAAATTAACTTTCTACATGTTGTCCATGTTAATTTGAAGCATTCTTATTTGGAATATATCCCAGACATTCTCAAGCATTTTCCATGCTTACTGAAAGATAGTACTCTGTAGATTAGTTAAAGTGTACATTACAAGTTTCTAACCTGCTATTTTATTAATTTCATAAATATACAAAAAGAAATTCAAGGAGGTGCCAAGGGAAGCATTTCTAGATTCAGTTTGAGCATAGTCATTGCAACGTGGTAATCTTCAAAATGGAATGCAAAAGCAGGTCAAACTGTCAATAAAGCTGAGTGGCCTCTAGGAGTTATTACTTTTCGATAATGTAACCACACATAAGAATCTTACCTGTCCTATATAAGCCTTGCTTCACTGTTAACAGCAAATGCAATAGGAAATAAATAAAAAGTCAAATAATATGTTATACCAAAATAACACCAATAAAATGCTAAGTTGCAAGGCTTAGCATAAAAATGAAAAACACTAATGGAACATAGTGCAGTTTACTCATACTATGTGCAGTCTAAAATCATGCATAATGTAACAGTGCAACTGCTAACAGCAGGCTCACACAAGATAATTTACACTTGTTTTTATACATGCGGAACCGATCTTTGAAGTCGTCTCTAATGAGATTCTGCTTGGCCCTAACAGCATCCTGAGAGAGTGTACCGGGTTTTCTACCCTCCATCCGGTGCATATTTATAAAGTGAAATATAGGCTCATTTAAATTGCACATGTGGATTCATGCCTTTCCCCTCCCTATTATGAAGGGGGAAGTTTCACACTTGGGGAAACACTTTCCAGTTTCACTTACCTTCCAAGAGTTTTAATTGCCTCTGCCAATTTTATAATTGACCAAAAGCACCTAGAAATAGGGAAATGGAACAACTGCCTATTTAAGACCCTTCTGAAATCTTAGTTTGCTGCTATACATCCTTGATAGTGCTGTAGTGTAATCAATTCACAATCACAAATGATCAGGGGTGGAAAATGCACACTATGTCTTGAACATTTGATGCTATCACCTTCCCAGGGGTGAGATGTATAAGTGCCTAATGTGGTGCTAGCTTATGCATCTATGTGGGATATCCAGAGAAAGGAAAGGAACAGGAAACATGGCACACTTTACTCTGCCTGCATATCATGCCCCCCACAGCCCCCAAAGGACTCTTCCTCTGCCAGGATCCCAACCTCTGCCCCATGAGCCAAAGGAGCTGCTTCTATCTGGAGACCATGGGGTGAATCGTGGGGATGCAGGGCATTTTGACAATAAAGTTGTCATGATACAATTAGCCTTGGACTCAGAGACACCAGGAAGCCTTGGTCTAAAGATGAAGGCTCACCCGGCTGCCAAACACAAGGAACCCAGAGGACTAGGGACCCCTCTTGAGTAAAGGTAACCTAATGATCATGAGCCATTCATGAGTAGCCCTTTCCTGAAGCAGTAGTAGTAAGAGCATGTTTAAACACTCATGTATTTTTTTCCCAATTTCAATGACTAGGTGCTGATCGGTGTCTGAAAATTAGCTCCCTGACTCGCACTTTTGTTATTCTCTGGATTGGAATATTTGAATTTAAGCCAAACTCTAGCAGAATCCCTGGAAATTCAAGTACCCCTCCTCTATACCTCCAGGGAACCGGAAGAGGAGGGGCTCCCGCCCAATCTGCCATGCTCAGCAATTGAGTGTTTCCCTGTCTAGGAGTTGTGCAGGTGCACAAGACCATCTATGTAATGTGCAGAGACCATGAAGAAGAACCAAAGTTTATCTAGTCCAACTTCTGTTCACAAATGGCCAACCAGCTGCCTCTGGGAAGCCCACAAGCAGGACATGAGTGGAGCAGCACCTTCGCCACGGTGTTCCCTAGCAACCGTTAAACAGCAGCATACTGTCTCCAACGTGAGAGTTACTACCTAGTCATCACAACTAGTAACAACCGATTCTCATTTATTTCATTTTTTTTAAAGCTGCCAATACCTAAGACTCTCAGGGTTGTTTACAACTACTGAAAAACCATACACAAACAAGCATATAAACCTGGACAAGCAGAACCTCAAAACAGTGACCCATACTTTGGTAATCTCTCATTTGGACTACTGTAATGAGCTCTACGTGAAGCTGTCCTTGAAAATAGTTTGGAGACTTCCATTGGTTCAAAATAAGGCTGTGAGACTGCTAACAGGGACTGCAAGGCAAGAACACATCATCTCAGTCCTCTGCTATCTACTTTGGTTGCCAGTTGAAACCCAGCCCAATTTAAGATGTTAATGTTAATAATAAAGCCCTAGATGGTTTGGGACTCGGATATCTGAATGCATGCTTTCTTCCATATATAACCCTAAGTTCATCATTGGATTTCCTACCCTGAGAGCCCTCCCTAAATGATGTAAGCAGGGTGGCCACAAGGAGAAGGGCCTTTTCAATTGTGGCACCTCATTTATGGAACCAGCTCTTCAAAAAGGTGCACCTGGTGCCAACTCTATTCTTTTTGGCACCAGGTAAAAACATTTTTATTTTCCCTATATTTTGATAGCTAAGTTTTATACTCTGTATTATGTTTTATATGGTATTTTATCTTGGATTGCATGTTGCCCCCTGGTTTGTTTTGTTGTAGATGCCTGTTATGGATTATGTGTGGGGTTTTGTTTCGTTTATATTTAAAATTTTGTGTTTGGCTTATATGTAAGGTTGGGGTTTTTTGTTTGGGTTTTTTGCGCTTGGGATTATGGGTTTTTGCAGATTTCATATATTGTAAACCATTTCGAAGAGCCATTTGGCTGATTTAAGGTATAAAAAGATTCTAAATAAATAAATAAACAGACAAAAGAGACGTGCATAAATCTAAAACAATTTTAAGCAATCAGCAACAAGGCTCCTCATGCATGGCCTCATACCTGAGAGAAGAGTAAGAACTTAACCTGGTGCCCAAAAGATAACAATGTTGATATTAGGCAGCCTAATCGCACAGCTGATTCCACAACCTGGCAGCCACCACTAAGAAGTTCTTTCCTTTTATTTCAAGCTTCCCTTAGAGGAGGCACCTGGAGGAAGACATTAGGTGATAAATGAAGGTTCAGCTGGGAGAGGTGCTCCATAAAATATAGTCCTGAGCAGCGTTAAGGCTTTATAGGCCAAAACCAACACCTTGATTCAGATGTTGATTGTTGCAAGCTAACTGGGTGCTTACCTGAGCAGAGACAACTGAAACCAGGTTATCCATGTCCAGAAAGGTATATAGCTGAGCCACCAAGCAAAGATGGCAATGCACTCTTAATGCCACTAAGGCTGCCTGGGGCTTAAATGACATAAAGTGTTCCAGAAGAACACCTAAGCTACAAACCCACTCTTTCAGGGGAATACAACCCTGTACACAATAGGATGAGAGTCTCTATCCTGCCAGAAGAATGGCTCTCTAACAGCATCTAAGTCTTGTTTGGAGTAAGTTTCTGTTTATTAGCCCTCATCCTTTCCATTGTCACAGCTAGGTACATCTTAGTACATCCACAGCCTCACATGGCATGATACTCCAAAATTCTGAATGCTTGCACTTAGCTGTTTCATGTAGATGTTTAAAAGCACGGGGCACAACCCTACCCCTCTGGAAAATGGGGAATCACAGGGCTGTGCAATATTCTCCAAACAGCACCTTCCTGAACTGACCACAGGTAGGCACAAAACCACCGCAGTGCATGGTCACATTCCATGTCTCTCTTGATACAATCATCAAACATGAACAACCAAAGCTGCTTCCATGACAAAACCTGATGTGAACCCCTGCTGACTTTGATCCAGATAATCAGTCTCATCCAAGAGTTGGCAACCATCTGTTCAAAGGACTTGTAGAAAGGGATCTTTGCCGATGGCCTAACGTTATTAAGATCTTCCAGGTACAGGAAGTGCTTCTTCAGGAGCAGCCTCGCCACTCTCTTCCAGACAACTTTCTTCTGGACAGCTCAGGACAAGTCTCTCTTGCATAATCACCTTCCTGGCTCGTCCAGCTGTTCTCTCTTGATCATTTTTGCAAGCCGAGACAAGACTCAGGATGGAAGTGGTTACACAAACCCGTCTGAGCATATTTTCAATGGCCTTGAGCTGTACTACTTGAAACTCATCCAAGAAAAGTGGACAAAGCTGCACTCTGGATGCTTCACCTGGTATTTCACCTCTGTAACACTGGCATCTAAATCCCAGAAAGCACAAGCCATTTTATCCGGGAAGTTTTTAACAAATGTATTGTATCAGGATGCAGACAGGTCAACAATGTCTGCAGGGCCAGCATGTATCAGGCTCCACATGTAATAGCCTTATGCTGCAGGAATTTGTCTGTGGTAGTGAATTCCATAATAATTTAAACATGTGCTGTGTGAAGAAGTAGTTCCTCTTATCTGTCCTGACTCTCCCACTGATTAGCTTTACTGGATTACCCAAGTTTCTAATATTATGAATGGAGGAGCAGAACTAGGCATCTTTCTATATACCATGATGGAACTCAAGATAGCACGCATGGAGTTTCCAGGTGGTGTCAAGATATATTAACAAGAGTTAGGCATGTTTAGCCTCAGTTATGCTTCGACTTTATAGTTCTACAGATCATGCCCTGTAACCATACCATGAAGAAGAAACTTAAGAGGCCTGAGAAATATTCTGAGATTTCCATGTGCTTTCAGACACATGACGAGGATGGATGGATGAATAGCTGAAAATGACTTTTTTAAAAATAACATAACAAGCACAGATAATCTTGATCTGTCTCTGATACTAGAACTCAAGTAATTAGCCATATTCAATTGCTGGACTCTTCAGCAGGCATGCTTTCAAATTCCTATAGAAGCAGTAACAGACATTCAAAATATAACTAGATGCAGGACGTGGGCACAGGTTTTCATGTAATGCTTGTTTCTTTGCTGATTGTTTTCTCATCTTTTCATATCAACAGCTCATCTCTTACCTTCCATTCATGTTGTTTCTTGCCTAATGCTCCCTTTGGTACCTTCCACCTGCTATTTTACTACATTCTTTTAGTATTTTATTAGGCAGGAGGTGTGGCTGCCTCCGCTGCCCTCCACACAACACTAAATGAAACAGCACTATTTCTTTCTAATATGACACAGTGTAAAATCATCTTCCAAACTGGTATTATTTACATTTCCTAGAAACATATCCTTTATCTACATTGCACATCGAATGATACAATGACATCAAAGACTTTGAAAGTACTCTTTGACAAAGCAAACATCTCAAAATATGGAGAACACAAGTCACTGCATTTAAATTTGTATAATATTTTTTTATAGTCTGAACTCAATAGCTTGGTCACATACAATACATAATTGTCATTAAAGAATGTTGTGCAAGAATCTCATTACAAAGTGAATTTTGCACTCACATTGGAATGCATTTCTTTAATCTTGACCATGCCTAAATGGTCAAGGATCTTTTCACCACTCCTTTCCCATTACTGGGATCTAGCCAATCCAAGGCTGAAAAATATTCAATCAGAACAATTAACTTGCTTCAGACCAATGAGAGTAGAACTTGATTTTCTCTATTGCCCAGAGGAAAATGCTCCACTTATGATCATGCACCAAAATAGTCCATTTCCCCTCAAGGCATAGAAATTATAGCAACAGATAATTAACAACAAATGGTGAAAACTCTTATGAGTTAAAGGTCTTAGTTTTGTTGCCAAGCTGACTATCAAATTTAGAGATAAACAAAGACTGTTCTTTTTCCCATTAACACTGTGGCAGTGTTAAGATGCAGCAATGCAAAGTAGTCTGGCAAAACACAATCAAAGGTCACAGTGTTAAAAAAAGATAATGCCCCTAGAGGATTATTATTTCCCTTTTATTTCTCACAGGGTGCCTAAAAACTTGGGATTGCTGTATTTGATCCATGCTGCCTCATTATAATGATAGCATCCCCCGTAGACAAAGTAGTCCAGAAACTTCATACAAACACATAAAGCAATTTCCAAAGGATCCAAAGAGTTGTAACCAGTTTCTCATTAAATGCCTGGTAGTGCTTGTTCTAAGAAATCTTCTAGAGTATTTTTCAGTTGATCATAATGGTACCTTTGAAACAGAAATTGCAAAGTTTTTTTTTAACTGACTCTCCATTCTTCCTCAAGAGAAAAGATTTACAAAAGTATCCAGTGTGGGGAGGGAACTAGTGTGGAGTAGTAGTTGACAGCATTGTTCTGGGACTCAGGTGATCTGGGTTCTAGTCCCTGCTCAGATATGGAGCCAACTGGTTGACTTTGGCCCAGTCACAAGCCTTTCAGCCAGACCTACCTCACAGGGTTGTTGTGGGATTAACATTGTGTGCTGGAGGAGAAGAATGCTGTAATCTGCTTTGAGTTCTTTAAAAGGAAAAGGTTGGGATAGAAATGAAATGAAATGCCTTCAACAAACTCCAAAATCTCAGTTGCAAACAGAAGGTTTATATGGCGATCTATGTCAAGCCTGTGGAACTTGCTAGTTAGAATAAGTAATATCTATGCCCACCGAGGAAGTCTGTTCTAAGGGAGATCAGGATGGCTCCCTCCCTATGGAGTTTTAGGGTAGAAAAAGGTTCAAGTTCAGACAGAAGAACTACAGTTGCAGCACAACCCACCCAATATGCTGGATCTAAACACACATAGGATTGCACAATCAGACATGGAGTGAAAGTTGTACTATTTCACCAGGTCTTTGACTTTTAAACATCTGTTTAATCTGCTTCTAAAGAATATCCTACTTTTATTTATTTTGTTTCTATCTTATGGTTTTATTGGTTTTTCTTGAACATCACTTTGAGGGTCCTGGCAGGCAGTGTACGTACACATGCACACACACACCCTGAACAACCTGTGACCCACACCAAGAAACAAAGAGCCTAAGGTTTTGCTGTGACTGCAAAGCACTGCAAAAACAAGGTAGGCAGCTGCCCAGCAGCTGGCAGGCCACAACTATGACTCTGAGGTAGCATCAGACTGAACTGCAGACTGACCTCAGCAAGTTTGGCCTTGTATTCTCTGCATTATAAAGCAAAAGCTGAGGTACACTAAGAATGCCATTCCTTCTTCACAAATTCGATATGGTGGTTAAAGTGATGTGCTGACCCTGCTGCTCTTAGTCACTGCATTCACTTCTTTGTGCCACACAAATGGCAAATGTGGTACATAGGAAAGAACTTAATGGCTGGGCTCAGACCACATAATAATGCATAGTCTGGAGCTGAGTATGGATTGCCACTGAGTTTTGGTTCTTGCTGTACGAAGTAGGTGCGAACCAACTTGATGTAATTAATGTGGGACACACACTCTTGCTTCAACCTCCCTGAAGTCATTGCGTCCAGGGAGGAGAAAGATGTATATGGTGTGCTGATGGTAGTAAGTTACCAGATCTAGAATTGTGATACTTTGCTGGAAAAGAACTGTATTTTCTCCTCTTGTCAACATCTTTATTTAATAAACACTCACAAGCAAAGTTTAGCTGCTGGTTTACTCATAGCTCTAAAATAAAGCAGAAGTATAAATTCAAAAACAGGAAAAAAAGAAATCATTTGCCCATACGCATTACTTTTTCTTTGTCCTCATTTGTGTGATCACGGCTAACACCATGACTTGCTTAGGCCATAGTGAGCTGCAGCACATGCTGGATGGTTTTTGCTTATTCAAGCTGTGCCTGTGACATGTCATGATGGCAGCAAAGGTTGTGCAAGGGTTAAATAACCCCTGCAAAACCTTAGAACAGGTTGCACAAGGGTTGTTTAACCCCAGGATTTAGATTACATGAGAAGTTGCAGCATGGATATTCGAAATGGCCACCAGCATATACCATAACCTGCCGTGACTTAAACAAGCCCTGGTGGACTGTTTGATCAAGCAAAACTGGTCCTGTGTCTGTATGGTATGTTTCATGAGAGGCATACAGGATCACAGTCCCTCATAATAAGTAGTCAGATTTCCTGAGCCTATACAGAGAAGGGAAGGGAAGGCAGCCAGACTGTATTTGGGGTCATTTCTCCAGAATGCCTAGCTTTATACCTGAAAAGTATCTATTACCTACTAAAGCACTGAGAACAGAAGAATGAGAGAGAGAAGCCTATGAATAATCAGTTTTGGTTTATTTGTTTCAGCTATTAGCCAAAGTAAAGTCAAAACACTAAACATAGTAATTAATTGGGTACCCTAGAATACTTGGTGGACCCCAAGGCAGAGAAGCATTCATTCTAGACACAGTTAGAAAAACAAGTCTGCTTCATAAGCTTACATACGAACAAGAGAAGACAGCACTCCTGATCACAACTCAAGATATGCTTTGTTCAACAGAAAGGAAGAGCTATATTTAGTAGCTATTCACTTAACTATTGCAGTGGGTATAAACAAGAGAGATTTCAAGATTCCTAAAGTCCTGGTCCTTGACCCTTCTGTACCGCACTCCGCAAAAACCTTCAGCAAAGCTATTATGTCAGCACTATAACCTTGTCCGAATTGCCCTAAGGAAAAAAAAATCCTCCCACTTGCTTCAGAAGACCTGCCTTAATGGCCCCAATTCTTCACATTACACTAAGTGATTACATTATAAACAACCTGAAGCAGACTCCAAGCTCAGTTTTCAACTTCTTAAAGCTCTTAAGAAGG